TTAACTGAGGGAGTCTCTCCCAGAGTGTTTGTGTGTTGAAGGCTGGGTGGTAAGACCACCTTAACTGAGGGAGTCTCTCCCAGAGTGTTTGTGTGTTGAAGGCTGGGTGGTAAGACCACCTTAACTGAGGGAGTCTCTCCCAGTGTCTTTGTACTTTGAAGGCTGGGTGGTGATACCAGATTTACTATTAAATTTAGGTCCAGTTACAGAACCTGATTTCTGCCAAACTGATCCTGGAGCTAGCAGAGTTCAAGGTGTGCCAGAGGGTAACAGGGCTGTTGCTGACACCCTTTGCCAGAAACACCTTCTCAAGGTGAACAGCCCATAGTGATGAAGTGCCCATATGTGATGGCTTAAGGGTATATGCTGTAGCTGGGCTGCATACAGCATTGTCCACATGTACAGGGCATCAGCAACAGTACTGTGGACACAGGCTGCACATATGCTAGACTGTGCCCTGGACTGGCGACTGAGCACTGAAATGAGTATGAGGTCTACAGCTGCTGACTGCTGATCTATGGTGTCAGTCACTCATAAACAGCTTTTTTCTTCCATCGCTGTTCTCTGCTGTGCTGCCACACTTACACAACTACACAGTTTTTGCTGCATAAACCTGGTCTTTTTTCACTTTAATGGTCAAAAGTTTTATTTCAGGATTTAAGGGGCATTTCAGTGGGGATTTTTTTTAATGCTTTGATGTTCAAACTGTGACATTTACCAAAGTTTCCCTCATCTGAGTTCTTTGAACAGGTTTGAACAATTGTTGTAATGAAACAACTTCTGAATCAGTCAAGTATTAAACCTGCAGCATGGGAATTTCATTTACTCAAAATTTTCATTTAGGATGGATAACGGAATGCTCTGAGATAAGGTGGCCCCAACCACAAGCCCTTAGATCTTTGGAAAATTCAATCACTTGTACTTGTTTGTAGCTGTTCTGACCATCTTTAACAAGAATCCTGAAACTTTCTCTCTTTATCTCTCTAGCTCAAATCGAAATTATTCCCTGCAAGATCTGTGGAGATAAGTCGTCTGGCATCCATTACGGTGTGATAACATGCGAAGGCTGCAAGGTAAGCTTGCGGGAAGTGGAGCACTGGGCCGAACGCTCTCCTGCATGCCGTCGTGAACGTCTCCCTGGTGCCTTCTGCTCCACTGTGTGTTTTTTTTTTTTTTTTACCAAGAAAGAGTTGCTCTTCATACCAAAAAAACTCCTGAAACCTGACAGAGACAGAATTCAATTGGTCAAGTGTTTCCTCTACAGTAAGTCAGAGTGTTCAGTCAGTTACACAATGAAAGTGGTTTGTTTACTCTTCTCTGTCTATGGTTATGCTGTGAGAGTGCCGTGCGAGACGGTGTCACTAAATGAACCCCTAAGGAAGGTGATTCTTTGAACACTTCTGAAGTGTGAAGTTTTCACTGCAGCACATTGTTCTTTCCGCTGAGGACGCGTTTTGTAATGCCTGAAATGCCTCACCTGTGTGACAAAGAGAATTTTGCTCGCTGTGTATTTTTACTCGCCTCCTGTCACCAGGCCGGTCTTTAGTATTCCATAAGGGGCCAGTACCTCCGTTGTTGCATGTCGTGCGTGAGGCGTATGGAAACACTGCAGTCTCCCCTCAGAGACAAGAGCTTAAATGCAGCGGAAGCAGTGGAATAAGCCGCTGAAATGTGCCCGTAATGATTGCTAATTACTTCAGGCGCAGAAGTGCTTTAATGGCATGAGCAAGCGCATGAGTTCGGTCCATAAATCACAGCCTCGTGAAAAAGTCGGGATTGTCACCAGCACTCGAACCCCTTTCCATAATGGCTGTCATTAGAAAGCAACTTGGCAGCTGTCAGCTGTTTTCTTGTAATTAAACAGCCAATGAGCAACTAATTAAGACATATGTGTATCGAGCAGTGGAATGGGGTTTGTAAATGATGTGCTAAAATCAATTCATTAAGTAGAAAATTGTCAAACGCTGAGGCATCAGACAGGCATGTTGGCCTTCGCGTCCCCAAGCCAGGGCCGTGTCAAATCAATGGTGATGTTCTGGCCTCCCTGCACATCCTACTTGTACCAAACTTGATTGGTGGGAGGCTGCCGACACGCCTGCGTTCAGAGCGCTTGGTCGGGCATTTCCACTGGCGCGCGGTTGAGGTGCACAGCGATGTGGGCTCCTAGGGACGGCAGCTGGCGGTGACGCAGGTGACTCCATGACAGTACGACTCGCTCTCACCACCTTCCCAGGGCTTCTTCAGGAGAAGTCAGCAGAGCAATGCCGCGTACTCCTGCCCCCGTCAGAAGAACTGCCTGATCGATCGCACCAGCCGCAACCGCTGCCAGCACTGCCGCCTGCAGAAGTGCCTGGCTGTGGGCATGTCGCGAGACGGTAGGTGCCCGGGGCCCTGGCCACATCCACTCGGGGGCACCTCCTAGACAGCAAGTAGCTCTTATCAAATGAGGGTAATTAGCGTGCCTCAGTGGTGGCTCCGGCGTCAGGGGTTCAGGTGAGCAGCATTAGCACTGTGGCTGCCGTGAGGCTGTCCTGCAGGACCTCTGTGGCAGTGGGAGGGGCACGGGGCACCAGGGCACCAGGGGCTCTAATCAGGCCAGCCCTACCGAGTCCTTCGAGCTGCTCTCTCACACAACCAGGACAGGCAAGGTGACCCCTGGCTCCACGTGGCACGCAGCCCCCTGATCTGTGGTGCGCTACCTGCACTCCTCCATCAGACGCTGGCAGATTAATGTGTTTTTCCTCAGTTGCCAGGGAAGCCCGTGACAGCATTTGCTGACTAAACACGCGGTCCACTGTCTTTGATGGGAAATTTAATCGCAGAACCGCCACCTCACCTCTGACACCATAATGGGCCTGTATCCCAGTCTAAACCTCGCATTCCAGACACGAGGTTTAATTTCATGTTTGGGGGGGGGGGGGTCCACAACTTGTCCGACACGTTACATTCACGTTCCCAGGATGAGTTTCAGATGCTCTCTCAGCGCTGTGTCTCAGCAGCCCATGCAGAAGAGGGATCCCCACAAAGCCATGTTTCTCCCTCCCCCCCCACTCAGCCGTCAAGTTCGGCCGCATGTCGAAGAAGCAGCGGGACAGCCTGTATGCGGAGGTGCAGAAGCATCGGTTGCAGCAGCAGCAGCGGGACCAGCAGCCGCCCGGGGAGGCCGAGCCGCTCACGCCCGCCTACGGCCTGTCCGCCAGCGGGCTCACCGAGCTGCACGACGACCTCAGCGGCTACATGGACGGACACACGCCCGAAGGCGGCAAGCCGGACTCGGCCATTAACAGCTTCTACCTGGACATCCAGCCCTCACCGGACCAGTCGGGCCTGGACATCAACGGCATCAAGCCCGAGCCCATCTGCGACTTCGCTCCCGGGTCGGGATTCTTCCCCTACTGCTCCTTCACCAACGGGGAGACGTCACCCACAGTGTCCATGGCGGAGCTAGGTGAGGGGGGGGGGCAGAACTGTGGGGCAAATGACACAAAGGTGGTTTAAAATAGCAGGAGGTTGGAAACTCATCTCCAAGACTCATTAAAACTGCTTTTTCGTAATTAGTTTCCATTAATTAGGGCCAATCAAGATCCAGCAGGGCACGAGTCTGGGGAAATCATTTTTTTAGGCTCCCTTGTGCTTTAGAACACTTTTCCTTTTAACAAATGTATTTTAAAAAATGATTAAATTTTTAGTCCTTTTTTTCAAGAGAAAATATGACCTTTGTTTCTGTGAGTAACGTTGTCTTCCCTCCAACCCTCTCAATTCACGTCAAAACCTGGCTCTGACTGCCCCCCCCCCCATGTGTGTGTTTCCAGGAAGTAACTCAACAAATCACTTGCTGCTTTAACTGTCACTAATGAACGAGTAAACACAGGCCGTCTGCGCCCCGTGCGTCTGCGCCCCATGCGCCTGCGCCCCGTGCGTCTGCGCCCCATGCATCTGCGCCCCGTGCGGTTGTGCTCCTTGCTCTCATTCTCCATAACCTCTCCCCGCTTCTCCTCACCACCGCTCCTACAGAACATCTGGCGCAGAACATCTCCAAGTCCCACATGGAGACGTGTCAGTACCTGAGGGAGGAGCTTCAGCAGATGACCTGGCAAGCTTTCCTGCAGGAGGAGATGGAGAACTACCAGAACAAGGTACAGAGCAGCTGCCACACCTGGGGAGGGGTCAAGGGGAGGCTGTACACCTGCTCACGGACGCCGTCCCCCCCCACAGCCTCGGGAGGTCATGTGGCAGCTGTGTGCCATCAAGATCACGGAGGCCATACAGTACGTGGTGGAGTTCGCCAAACGCATCGACGGCTTCATGGAGCTGTGTCAAAACGATCAGATCGTGCTTCTGAAAGCAGGTACATGCCGCATTGTCCCTGTCACCATTAGGTGATCACGTTGGGAGGAGTGAGGACACCCCCCCCTCACCCATCGCCTCCCCCCATCATCCTCCTCAAACGAGAAGACAAACTGTTCCCCGCCACGCAGATAAACAGACAGGCAGGGTGGTCCCCAGGGCAGTGTGCTCTCTCTCGCTCTCTCTGACTCTTATTTGCATTACCGCTGCCGATATTAATAATTAACTGGGGATCAGGGGTCTAATGTGACACGTTAAACTGCAGCCTGTTCATAAAGCACGATAATTGTTTTCATTACACCCTTTTCATCCCGTAACTCAGCTCTGAAGGCTGTTCTTCACGCCCTATCCATCACCCCAGCGCGACGTCACAGCACATTTTCTAATCGTTATACGGAAAAGACTCCCAGATAGCCACGACTGGACTAGAATGTCATTTAATTTAAAGCAAACGGTATCTTACAGAAACAGAGAAGAGCGATAACAGTGGATGGCGATGATTATCGGAATAATCTGTGTAAAGTGGTAGGAGGGCTGTTAAGAGAACGAACATGCTGTGCGGAGATCAAAGGGAAAGACGCGAAGGTGGTTTCGTGCTTCTTACAGGTTCCCTGGAGGTCGTGTTCGTCAGAATGTGCCGTGCCTTCGACTCTCAGAACAACACCGTCTACTTCGATGGGAAATACGCAGGTCCTGATGTCTTCAAGTCCCTGGGTGAGTGTGCCCGGGTACCAACGTCTGCCTGCACTTCTTGAGGTCACGCTAAATGCTCGCTGGGTTCGCCTTCCTCACCCAGTCCTGGGGTCCTGGTCGTAGGGCTCGTCCCTGTGGGTCCATGCAGTCACCAGTAAGCCACGTGCCTGAATATCTTCCCTGGAAACCATTGCCGAGTGGTCGGAGTTTTAGCAGTGTGCCACACACGGGCGATGCCCGGCGGTTTGAGCAGAGCGCCTCCTTCAAGGTGCACGGCCCCTGGGTCGCATGGCAGCAGAGAGGCACGTGGCAGAGACAGGAAGTGGTGGAGACTCAGTGTCGCAGCCAATTGCCTGTTACTATCGATGTAATCAGACGCAAAGACGGCTCAGCTAAGGCCGCGTTTCGTCTCCTGAGTTGGTTAATGTGAGGCCAAAATGAGACGCCCAGCCCTGTTCCTGACACCCCCACCCCCCATCTGTCTGTCTCCTCCTCACCAGGCTGCGATGACCTGATCAGCTCCATATTTGAGTTTGGAAAAAACCTGTGTTCTATGCACCTGTCGGAGGATGAGATCGCCTTGTTCTCAGCATTCGTGTTGATGTCTGCGGGTAAGGACTTCCTGGGCTCCTGTTCCATGGGCAGGGGAGGCGGTCAGCCCTGTATCTAACTACAGCCCTCTGATATTCTTCACGTGTGTGTGTGTAATGTCACCGCACCGGTGATCCTGGGGACGTCCACCTAATCGTCTATCCCTCTCGTTTGCCCCAGACCGGTCCTGGCTTCAAGAGAAAGTGAAGGTGGAGAAACTCCAGCAGAAGATCCAGCTGGCCCTACAGCATGTCCTGCAGAAGAACCACAGAGAGGATGGCATCCTAACGAAGGTAAGCGTAGACTAGACGAGGTCGCCGTCCCACGAAGCCAGGTCCCGGTTCTGACAGGCCAAATAAGCAGAGCCTTTCACAGGAGAAGTCTGTAGACATCTCTCAGGGCCAGCATGAATATTTGTCCTGTATGAGAGAATGCAGAGTGTAGGTTTTCCAGCTCTTTGGATAAACAGAACAGTGTTTTGAAGTGGTATCCTCATTGCATCATCTGTGCAGGAATAGCTACCCCCCCCCCACCCCACCCCCTGTAGAGAGCAAACACTGGGCCGCTTTGAACCCGAGCCGGGCTCCGAGTGGCTGCGTGCGAGTAACACCCTGTGTAATCTCTTCACAGTTGATATGCAAAGTGTCGACGCTGCGAGCGCTGTGCAGCCGGCACACGGAGAAACTGACGGCTTTTAAAGCAATATACCCGGACATTGTGCGCACCCACTTCCCCCCCCTGTACAAGGAGCTGTTCGGCTCGGACTTCGAGCAGTCGATGCCCGTGGAGGGCTAGCAGCCCGGCGGCGGCGGCGGGGGAGGGGCCCACGCCTGCATTGCTGGGAGGAGCAGAGCGGGATGCATCTGAGACACTTTAACGGTGCCCGGCATGAGCCAGGACAACCAGCACACTGCACAACTGGGAGCGGGGGTGGGGGGGGCGTCTATTTCTACTCTTTGGTTGGTTTTAGTTGGGTTTTTCGTTTTGTGCTTTTTTAACACGGACGGGATCCTATGCCCAGGGCAAGGAGAGGATACAGGCGACTTCCTTTCAGGTGAACTTGGCACTCCCATGCACGTGTGTCGCCACGGCGACACCACAACCTGTACATCACAGGAGTCCCTTTACATTGGCACTATACAGTGACCTCTTAAAAAACATGAAAACGAAAAACCCCACAAATCGATCATAATCTTAATGTGAACTTGAAGCACAATTAGACCTTTGAGAAAGTTTTATTCAATACTGAAAATTGTCATTCCCTTAATGAAACAAAGCATAACATGAAATCAAGATGCATTACCTAAAATATAATACTTATTAGACCCAACAAGTCCACAACAAGCTGTTTGGCATGTCTTGGTCAAGTTCAGCCTTTAATTTTCTTGTCCTGTTTTGTATTTTTTTAACTGCTGTTTTGTGTGGAATGCAGTGTTCAGAATGCAAACTCGATGCAGGGAACATTGGGGCTGCTGCGGCGTGGCGGGTCTGAACAGCCAAGGTGGCGCTAAAAGCGCCCTCCAGTGGACAATCGTCTCAACGAAGCGCGCCATTCCGGCCATCCTAAAAACGTTTAAACACAAAGACTTTTCGCTGTCGGAGTCTCCATCCTCCATGGTACCATAGTGAAACCCCCGCCTGCCTCCGATCCTTTAGTGGAGAGGTACCCTAGCATATCTGAGGGTGTCTGCTACAACGAGAAGGGCCCATCTCACCTGTTTTTTTTTTAAACGTGCAACAGGGTATCATTAGTACTTATACAAAAGATGTTTTTAGATTCTATTTTAAATAACTTGTATGATATTCGTAGTTAGATGATTCTTTATTGTCGAATCGATAAGGCACTTTTTTTGCACCTTTTTATTTAAGACTTGTGCGTTACCTAGTGATGCGTTGCATGTGCACAAGAAACACGTTTAAACCATATTCACGGAGGCTACTTCCGGGAAGCGGACATGCTGCTTATTCCTGGCATTTTGCTATTTGGGGTGTCGGGAGGGCGACGTAAATCGTAAATTTAAAGTTTTAACCCATTATTTTTACTCAATAACTAGAGCTTTAGTCACTATCCTCAAACTGCTCCGGGGCGGAGGAGGTGGACGTGGGGCAGCTCCGGAGGACTAAACCAAACAACGCAGTAAAACCGAGGCCTTTGGGAGATATTTACCCTCAGTTCAACATCACATTTAGCGAAATACCTGCATCTTGTGAATCCCCCCGCCCCCATCCGCTCGGCCCCAGGTTTGTTTGAAACGTGGTCATAGTTAAAACTTCCGCTTGTCATCGATATAAATTACCACGTGTTACACAGTATTACGAACTGGGCTCAGCAGACGACTGCAGTCCTATAGCGGCTTGCTCCTGTTCTCCGAAAACTCCCATCCGTCTAGCTGTCCCCAGTGTATGAACTGTTCAGTTGGGTTTAAGTTTGGTTGGTGGAGCAGCTTGTTTGACGTTGCTGTGGACTAAGTCCTGTCCAAGCGTACCACCTAGTGGCTAAGTACGGTATGAGCGCCCCCTAGTCCCACCCCCAAAGAAAGTGTAAAGGGCGAAATGAGCACGGTGGGCATGTGTAATGCCTATTTGAGCACCGTCCTAGTTTCAGTTATAGCCCCTCTCAGATATTCCGTCCGGGTTTCTGCAATCTTACTGTCTCCCCTTTAATCTACATATGTGCATACGAGTGTCAGGAAGTGTGTGTGCGTGTGTCAGACTTTTTCTTTGGTAAGGTGTACATCAGTAGTAACTTTAAGCACTGGGCAGCAAGTGAAAACATTCAAAGCCTTGTCTGGTAGTAATTCTCAAAAAAAAAAAAAACTAATACAACTTTAAAAAGGGAGAGGCAAAACGTAGCAGTTACAGAATTCCTGCAATAAATTATAATCGGTGTGATGAGAGAGGAAAGAAATATATTGTAATGCGAGACAATGATAGTGTTATTTTCAGATAGTGGCTCTTTGTTGTTTTGTTTGAATTTCAACTTAATATTGTGTAAAAACCTTGTTATTTGTATCTACAGGTGCCATAGTAGATCCTCATGTTTTCACCGTGTCAAAGAGGCAGACTTTTGTAGTGTTGTAGTGTTTTGACATTCCAAGAACTAGACAGTGACTTTTAGATTAGTAATAATACCGAGGACTGGAGTTAGGAAGCTTGTATAATAATAGACTTTTTTTTCATTCCTCTGTAGTGCAATACGTACATGACAGACCTGTTGTGTACTGCTATCCCTCAGGGAAGAGTGACGTGAAAACCACTTATTTGCGCTTTCTGTTCTCATTCTTTCAGTTTCGTGGTGTTTTTATGAATTCTTCTGGTAAACGTCCGAGAGGTTCCATTTACAGCAGTCAGAGGGAGGCGTTGCAGATATTGTAATAATGCTGTATTTGACGTTACCTTGGTCATGATAACTCAGACACGATTTAGCCATATATTTAATCACATACGATATCCATAGTGGTCCGTTTACCGTCCTTCGTATTGTCTTTGAGAAGCCAAGAACAAAATGACCTTAAGTGTTGGTACAATTTCGCATTTCACGTTTATTGTGCTATGTGTTATCCATGTAGGCACGTCGAGTTTTATTTGCATCCGCGTATATAGATAAAAGTAATAAATTGATCGTTCTACACTTCAAGAAGCATTTATATTATACAATATTTCGCATTTTTCCTAGACTAAAGAATGAAGCAATACTTAAGTGGAGTACCGCCGCTCCGTGATCCCTGTTAGTTAATACTCCAAGGCCATCCAGATACGTTTATGTTCAACTGACGGCATCTGCAGAACTCAAAACCTAGAGACAAATGATCAAACTGTGAATGACAATCTTATGTGGGTATGAACCTCTGGTCTCATCGTTTGCATATGGGTATTGACATTTGAAATGAATGCTCAGGGAGAGTAACATTAGCAGGTATTAAAATAGAAAGGTCACGTTAGGCATTGGGTATTTCTTAGTAAGTGTATATGGACTTGCAGTGCGTGCTTTATTTTAAAAAGATAGTAAGGCTTTATTAATTGGCAGCGTATTCCTTTCAGGGTGCTCTGAAAGACGCTCTCCTTGTAAAATGCATCTGGAAGCACACACACTTTCAAGTGCGGAAAGATCTTTTTCTCAGATGTGCAGCAGAAAGAAAGTGTCACTATGGAGATTGTTCATTATTATTGTTTTTTCTTTTCTTTGGCAAAGTTTTTTTATCTTGAAAAACATACACACAATACAAACCTTAGTACATAAAAGTTTTGCTTTTAACTTTGTTTGCAGTTTATAACCTGTAAGGAAAGTCTGTGCAATATCAATGTTTTTACCCTCAGTTTTATCCAATGTTCTCATTTAATCTCATTTCATACGCATATCAAATCTGGAACATGGTTCAATTTTCAAATATTTGAATACGTATAGTATTAACAAGATAGAACCTAAAATATGAACTGAAAAACATATATTCTTTCTTGAATTACCCTCCACAAATTAGAAGGTACTGGTTTGGATTAGAAACAATGCAATTTCCATAAATCACTCAGAGGCACAGTTGTACCTGTATAATGTGAACGGTTCTGGACGTCATGGAAGTTAATTAGACTCCACAGAACAAACGCATCGTTATCTTTGCCGAGCCGAGCTGCAAACCTGTTCGTTTCAGAAAAGAGAAGCTAAATATTGGCAGCTTTACTGCATCTGGGAAGGAAGCGTCTGTTGGGATATAAGGTTTTACTCCAGTAAACATTTATTCTGACAGGGACCTCTCTGCTCGTCCAAACAGGGAGAGACACTCGCTGTGTGCCAAGGTAGCGCTGTAGACATAGCTTATTAAACTGGTACGTTATAGAAATTAGCGGCGCATTATGTGCATTATTAATACGGGTTTTAGAGGATCTTCTCAGTAACTGTAGTGAATCATAACTCGCGTTATCTCTGTCGACTGGTGCTAAGCCGTGTCCCAATCAGTGCGCAAATGTCACGTGTGCCCCCGTCCTGAAACGCAGTCATTTCCTTTCCGCAGTCGGTACATGTATCTCTGCTTTTATTGTGTTTTGCCAACTGTGACTCTCTGTGAAAAGTACTATCAGCAATATCAGCCGGAAACGAAAATTACAAGTAAAGCTGTTGCAGACTTAATGTTGCAGATACCCATCCTTGAGATTGCTGGGTGATTCACTGTCTGTAGCTAGATATAGACCGTCTGACCCAGAATGGCCTAATCTGAGACCACGTTTTGGTTCATCACCCTCTTTGGACACAATCTATCCTCAGATATTGTGATGTGTTTTGACAATTTGATTAACTACTGCAAGGCTACAGTCTTGCTATGAATTGCATATATATATATATATACACACACACACACAGGTATATATTTGGGTTAAGGTGATTTGAAGTCTGTTGTTCATCTTAAATTAGTAGCCATACAATCACACCATTACGGTTGTTTTAACAGGTTATTTAAGCAGTGAAATTTGACGATGATTTGTTACATAGCGTCAGGTTTTGTTATGCTATTATTCAGATGATGTCCTTGATTGATTAATAGATTTTTAAAAATGAACTGAATTTTGTTCGTGCTTTTATTATTATTATTGTCAGATCTGAATGTGAGCAATATGGTTAGGAGAAGGACGATGAGAACTAACGCAGGGTTAGTGTGCGTAGGCGCGCGCACTGTAGGCACAGGACAGACCAACCCAGACAAGGCTTTAACTTAGCGACGACGTCACGGTCTATTACCTTCATTGTCTCGTTATTCATATTTGCATTGGTTCATTTTATGGAAACCTTCCTAAGTAAGTTATCATTTTCCAAAGTACAGCAGGCATAGTCATGAAAAATAAGACTTTTTAAAAAAAAGAAAACAAAAAAAAAACGATAGAGAATAACTTCTAGCCATAACTGAATGTCAAGCAATAATATAAACGTTGTATTATTATTAATTTCGTGTACAAGTTTTAGACATCTGCATGTAAATACAATCTCTTATTTATCACTTTTTTCTGGTGGTGTCATTTTTTTTCCCATGTGTATATTTGACTTAGGTTCTGTCCCTTTGTAGAACTAAGAACTTCAGTTGACCTATACATTATCTCTCTCTCTCTCTCTGTCTTTCGCTCACCCTGATTTTATTTCACAATATTTAATGTTATTATTGATCCATGTATAGGGTTCAATTTAAAAGTTCTGTCTGTATAGGTAAGAAGAGCATACTGCTATCAAAGCCTACTCAGTGCAAATATTTACCTGTTTATTAAATACATCATGTTGTACAATATCTGTTTTAGTATACTACTCTCTCCTAGACTTAGTGCGATAAAGGTAGGGTGTGCTTCAATTTATTTTGTGTTATTCTGATGTGTGGTGCTAGGTAAGTTAATTTTGTGAACAAAATCTTAATTCTTAGACTAGGCCACCCTATCTGTCCTATTAATTTCACTGAGTGTTGACGCGTTATTAATATTAGGATTAAAAAGATAATTACGGTAATAATATGACGACTATGATACCCAGCAAGTACCTGTATCAGCGTGCTAGTCTTGGGATGAGGGTTGTTCTCTCATGCTTTAAGATTATTAGCAAAAAGCAGTATCGGTTTAATTAACGCTAGTCGCAAAAGTAATAAAAAAAAAAAGTTTCCCGCTACAGAAAAAAATGCATTGATTTGATTTTGACTGACAAGCAGTATTATGTATGTTTGCTTTTTAAGTATCCTGAATTTGTTGTTGAGCCAGTTCTGATTGTGAAAAGAGTAGGGCAAAGCTGCAGTCCGAGTCCGCGGTGAAGTACGGAGGCCGAACGCCCCCCTCCGAGGTAGCACTGCGGCCCCCACCTGTCGGTGGGTGCTAGTTTCAGTTATGGGGGCTTTTTGAAAGTCTCTCGGCAGAACACAGCTTTGTGGACCCTTATTTTCACAAGCAGGCTTTGTTAGTGTGAAGGTAGCCTACAGTATATAAGTCCTTTTGCTTTCAAAAAATAAAAAACCACCAGAGACACTGTCATTGTTGCTATACAAAAATCACCTTCATAAGTAACAAGTTTTTAACGTTTCTCAGTTCTTTTTGTAGCCAATTTCAGCCAGAATATGCTCGCAATAATACACAATAAATCACTCCGAGGCTTTCTCGGTGTTACAGGATGCACAAGTTATATGAAACTGTTCATGTTGTTTTCTATTTCTGAAGTTGTATTGTGAATGACAATGTATTTGCACATTGAAAATTCTATCTTGTGTTTCAAACTATTGTCATGTTGTCTTTACTAGTAACTGGTCATCTCAGTGTTTGATATCTGCTAAGACCGTTGAAGGACTGTTTCTTCTTTCTTAACGTTCATCATTAAGTAGGTAACTACAAACAATAGAAATACATAGTACGGCATTTTCCGTATGAAGTGGGCTTCTGAGGGTCATTCACAGAGGACTGGACACCAGAATTACACGACGACGGCTTACTTACTACGAGTACATTCTGGGTGACATTAGCTAAGAAAAGGAAAGAACGCGCTCTGTTCGCGCCACGGCTCCGGGTCCTGGTGCAGCTGGTGTTTTTGTTCTAAGCTGGACTGAATATAAATATTTGATGTAATACAAAAAATGGATTAAATCACTGTATTTTAAGTATTCGGGTGTGTATGTATACACGGAAACGGATCCAGCACTCATCTGGATTTCTTCTACATTGTTTTGTTAAATGTAAGATCAAGAGGATATTTTCCATGCTTCAGCAAAATAAAAAATGTAAATGCAGATAGAGGATTGTGGTTCCCACAAATGTATATGTTTGCTACTGATCTTAAAACGGGGACAAATTGTCATGAAACTTTTTATCCGGCTCATTTGAACTCTCCTTAGGAGTAGTGTCTTCACAATGGTAGTTTTGCTCCTTCCTGTCTAATTCTTAAAAATAAAATAAGTATTTTGATTCATTTTGTAAATACAGCTGTAAAGAAAATAAGAAATTTAATGTTGTCTTTTAAATACTTTTCATTCTAATATGAATGTTGTTATATTGTACTTAGAAGCTGTACCTTTAATATTACCTTTATTAAAAGTGCATTCGACACATCGATTTTAGATGTGCACTATGTACTGTTACCCCATAATAAAACGACAGCTTGTAATGGGCTCTTATTTTCTGCTCAATTTATTGTTCTCTGTCTGATTTAAATTCCCGCAGAGCGTCGCTAAGGCTCTGTGAAGTTCTCTGGAGTACGGCCTCTTTTATACCACGGTGAGACCGCAGCCAGAATCGGCTGTGTTGTGTGTGTGTCTTCATACTAAAACTGACTGAAGCAAATTACAACGTAGGCCCATAATAAAAATTATTATTATTATTATTAACAACAATTATAATAAGGAAAATGATGGATGGATAAGTACGACCACAAATATTATTATTATTATTATTATTATTATTATTATTTTATTATTATTATTATTATTATTATTATTATTTATACCGGCTTATGGTGACGTGACGAATAGCTGTCGTATATGATCGCCGTATTATAAGATACGGGGCGTAAAGCGTATGATATTCTACAAATGGAGCAGCAGATGGCGACGCCTCTCCAGAGCCGGACCTGTAATCAGGTTTTGTTCATTCAAATCCCAATGGATAAGAGCTGCTCTTATATTGCTGAGCAGAGAAATTGACCTGAATCGTTTCAGAATAACAGTGTGCCACAAATGAATACGTTATGCACATTTGTATGGTTTACGTTATGCTAAATATAGAATATTCGATGAATTGATCAAATCGTGTTTTATTACTGACAGAAATAGAATTAGTAATATTATGCCAAAATCTACTGGATACTTTATGGCCTTAATTGTAAAAGACGCATCCATTTACAACCACTTCTCTATAGTACAGTGAGCACCTGTTCATTTACGTTACATACACAATGGGCGCTTTAAGTCACCTGTTTTTCGACTGCAGGAGGGAACTGGAGTGCCTACAGGAAACCCACGAGAGCTCAGGGAGTACATTTATGCGGGGTTTAAACCCCAACCTCTAAGAGGTGCGAGGCTATACTATTGAACACGGAGCCAGCCGTCCACCCAACTAATGAATTGATGAACTTTCATTTTTTATCAAGACGTCAACGTTTAAGGCAAACTTGTAAATTTACATATGCCCTAATCATTTAAAAATTATAAATCAATGTTTATGACAGCGATTCCATTTAACCTTGTGATATAATGAGTTAACTTGTAATAGATAAACTGAACTTAACACAATTATAGCAGGAGGGTTATAATGCAGACCTACACATTTTATATTTAGACCTGCTAGCAATCCAAAATGTTATCGTTTTGGGTTTCTTCTTATTTTGAAATATTAGTTCTTCGTTTTTTTGGTAACAAATCGTCATAGGGTAATTTCATGCCTTTTATTACTAAATTCGTTTTTTTTTCTTTCTCGATAACAACGTAGTCGTGCTATGCAGGAAAGGCTGCATTTCAGCATCAGAGCGTCGGCCCCATGTGTGTCTGGAAGTCCTTGTTTCCAGGGGAAGCAAATAGATGCAACACCCTGCACTAAGCACGGTGGTAGTGCTGGTGGGAGCTGCAAAGTAGGTGTTATCAGTTTGGAAGACGAACTATGGAGCTGATATGGTGCGTTATGACAGTTTTTTATATTAACGTCTTTTTTGAATTGCAAGTAATTTTGACTTATGTAGGAGCCAGTTTTATGTTAACGTTGACTCGACATAAATAGTATTTATTTTCACATTTAGAGCGTGCAACCTTATTCACCCTTTGTGGTAAATTAATTTGTGGCCAAATTTGGGTCCACATAAATGCAGTTTAGTCACACCAAAGAACAAAATAAGTGGATATCTTAAGTTGTTTACTGATGTGTCGCTTTCCAATTAGGTAAAGAATTCTGAAGAGGAATCTTTCTTGCAGAGTTACTCCACATTCATTTATTTCAGTATTTAGAGTTCATGTCCATTGCTAAAAACACGACACCAACATTTTTTCCTTTTTATTAACAGGGACGACTCCCCTCAAAATGGTGATGTCGGGTTTTCTCGAGATCTGTATGATAAGTATACTTTGGCTCCTAACATAAAAGAGCTTTGGGCCATAGCGCAAAGGTATGTAACTTACATTTAAATTTATATTAATGACGTTATTATACTTGATGGAAGCAGCGGTTAAATTGGCAGTAACGTTGAAATGACGTCTTTACCTCACGCCTTGAACATTTTTTAAAATTAGTTTTCGTGTTTTATGAATGAACTGTTAAATACTTCCTTGAAGCGCTCTGGAAGTAAGCTCGACAGGGACCACCGAAGTGAAGAAGGAGAAACCGGCGGAATCCGCCGCTGTAACGAAGGAGCCTTCGGCCACGAACGCGAAGGATGCCGGTGACGGCGACGTTTACCCCGAGCCGAGACTGCCATTCCCCCGGTTCTCTAGCCTGACCACTAAGGAGCAGATGCTGTATTTACGAATGTTAAGGAAACTTGGCCCTGCAAACTCCTTTCCGGTAATCGCGCAACTGTTGTCATATATGAAGTCATATTGTTTATTACGTTTTTACGATTTTAAATATTATATTTTATATTTTAAATATTATTAATTATATTAATTTGACCTATTATTAATACAGTAGTACCTCGAAACTCGAACTTAATCCGTTCAGAACTCCGGATCGAATCCTAAAAAGTTCGAGTTCTGATCGAATTTTCCCCATAAGAAATAATGGAAAACCAATTAATTGTTTCCTGGCCCCAAAAATTACACCTAAATATGTTGTTTTTTTTTTTTTAGCATTTAAACACAAAATCAACCGGATGAAACAAGAAGAGCATATACTGTACTAAACACATCTAAGCAGATTTATCAAAACAGTATTTTTTTATTTTATTTTTAACTTTACACATTGTTTGGATACATTTATTTTCTTACTTAACAATGTGTCCTGCCCCGATTGTCCGCTCCTTCCGTGTGCCACGCCATCTCGTTATGTGATCAGCTGTTTCTGGTTGTTTTTTATCAGCTCTGTATTTCGTCCGCATTTCAGTTTGTTTCCCCAGTCCGGTCATTGTATTGTCCGTCTGCGTTTTGCCTGGCTTACCTGTAATTAATTAATTCGCCTTTGTCTCCGTTCCGTCCCCGCTCAGCATGACAATATTATTATGATTAAATGTATTAATGGTTTATTATTAATATATTATTATTATTATATTATATATTTATTTTTAAATGTATTTTATTATATTATAATTACTGTTACTGTCTATCATTGTCTAATGTATTTTTACTGTCTAAATATATTTATTCAGATAGTGTAAACATGCATGATGCTATCACAGCGAATGCGAGGCTGAGACTGAAGCTTTACCCTTTGTTTCCGCTGAGAGACGTGCTGCGTGACTCATTTCCCCGCGCTTACAAGTTATCTTAGGTCGGCGTTCACGGTTTGACTTCTGAGATTCAGATCGAGCTCTAGGTAATTTTTTTTTCGAACTGGTTGGTTCAACTTTTAAAGAAATTCGAGTTCCAATGAGTTCGAGAACTGAGGTACCACTGTATTAGTAATTTAGTATTATATTAATAAAGTTTGTGGGTTCACTGACATTGTTTTTTTTTATTCATGTTTCAGCAATTGCAAGAACGTGTGAAGATTGAAGTGGTCGAGTTCATGAAGTATTTGCAGGACGTGGCGCGGCTGTGTGCGGAGGATTACAGTCACCTGTGTGAAGGAGCCGCTCGATACACAGAGGTGGGCGTGGCCGTCAGTCTCTGGTTCTATATGCGATACACAGAGGTGGGCGTGGCTGTCGGTCCTGGGTTCTATGTGATATATCGAGGTGGGCGTGGCTGCTGGCCTCTGGTCCATGCTCACCTCCCTACCTGTGTACAGATTAGCATTGAGACAGTTCCAATCATATGCCTGAGCTAATCTCTTCTGTGATTGTGTGACAGGAGTATCTGGGAGCCAGCATTTCCAAGGTGAGGAGTTACCCACAGGTTTATCACATCCATGAGATGACCAGCATCACAGGGGGCAAGTTCAACCCTGATCTCTCCCTGAACTTTGAGAAGCAGCTCCTCATACTGGTACGCTCCATCACCACTTAAAGCACATGCTACACACTGCCAGTTTCTCTGTGTGACTGGATGCTTTTGCATAAAACATTGGCAAAAAATTGTCAAATAGCTGATAAATAGTATTATGCCTAAAGTGATTTGTTTTGAAAAGGGAAAAGTGAACATCATAGATGTCAAGAAACGGCTACCAAAGGACATCCAGCTTGCAGTGGACTACGACACAGTGGCGTCCGAGACTCCACCTGACAGGAAGGCCAACCAGGCACACATGGTATTCACAGAAATGCTTGTTTGCATGAAATGTCTGTGTAGTACTAGGTGTCACTGGATCCTCCACCAATTAGTAATATGCATACATGGCCACCAGGGGGCGCAAGTACACCTCACACTGCCAGCTGTAAGCGCATATTTAAACACTTCAAATGCCTACTGCCAAATTTAAATTTAATTTGTCAAAGCCTTAATTTCAATTTGGTAATTGTGAAGCAAAGGACATATTAATCACTACTCGTCAGCGGGGGGAAATTTTCTAAGCTTTCCTCCTTTTTTTTTTTTTTTAAAGTTACAAAAAGTAATGCATTCTGTGTTAAGATGTCATATAAAGCCTTCCATTTTAATTAGGCTGTATCATGAAGCCACATACATTTTTTCCCCTGTGTATTTTTTATTTATTTATTTTTGATTGTATTTTTTCTTTATATTTTTTTGCCAACCAGACGAGTATTTGCCGTACTCCCTGCCCACCTCCTTATGCTTCATGATGAAGTTATTATTTTGTTATTATTTTGAATATAAATTGCCTGTCTGGACGTCTCAGGTCCACATGAGGAGTTCTGGCCCGCAGATGTAAATAGATGTAAAGATGTGCCCGGATTTATGCTGCCCAAAGTCACCCTGAGACCGAGGGCATGTTGAGGCGGTTTGTTGTGTTTGGGCTTTGTGCAGATGTGCTCGTGTTCACCCCCTACAGGACGTCAGCTGCGACGCGAATGCGGAGAAGCTGTGCGCTCGCTACCAGCCTCACATCTGCCTGAGCAGCGCCGCCCTGCTGCGGC